AAACCAAAACCCAACCACCTTTTTAACAACAGTTCTTTCGGGAACAAAAATTCTACCATTGCCCTACAAATCTATTTTTAATTTTCTTTTGGTTTCTCCAGACGTTAACTATTTTGACCCAAATAACTTAGTGGGAACATCAAATGTTAAGGTCTTCATTGTGGGTAAAATTTTCCTTTGTAAGTTAACCAACCCGACTATAACTCAAGTTACAACTCTTAACACATCTTTCCCAGAGTATGTTTCAAGACCCTTGTATTCGTTTTGAAATTATGAAATTCAGAGTTTTCCTTTTCTTTTAAAAGTGCAATTTGTAGTAAGCATAGGAAATTTTCAAAACTGGACATGCATACATCCATTTGCAAATCAAATTGCTGTCTTTCCTCTATAGTTTTTGTGGCTCTTTTATCTCCACATGTCTTGACTCATATCTGATAACATCTTCAATTCATGGTTACACTAATACAGTTTGCATGTACCAGGTAATTGATTCCACCTTCCAGAGTCGCTGAGTCACAACAAGGTAGTTAGTCTTATTTGTTTCACCACATAGCGGAAATAGACAAATCATTTCAGCACTCCTACCCAAAAGTGCTTCTATGGGAACTGAATTTAGGTCAGAACAGAAGGGTCTGTGATGCAAAATACTACAATTTCAGGATGCACTGCCTCCTGCTTTCTAGATTTAACCTCAGTCTCTAAAACAATGTATTCCCATCATCATAATGAAACTTGCTTCCAGCATATATATCAGTTTACATCAAATGTCATTTGAATAACACATGGAAAGCACCTTTACAGGCTTATGCCACTTCATCTTAAACGTAATTTGAGAGTTCATTAACTTCATCTACAAAATGAGGAGCATTCAAAGCATTTCAATGGTTTGTTCAGATGGAATCTAGAAATCTATAAAGTTTATCACTATAAATCCAAAACCAGTGGTTTCAAAACTACCTGAACATCAGAATTATCTGCGGGATTTTATGTGTCATAAAACCCGTCCCTGGGTAGCTCCATGGACGTATTGAGATAATCTCCAGCTACCGTATTACAAGGGCACTCTAGTGGACATGTTGTCTAGGAAGGGCCAGTCCTTTGACAAAGACACCATGTGAAAGGGTGAAGGGTTGGAGAAACACAGAAGATCCTCAATGAGAAGGATTGATACAATGACTGTAATAGTGGATTGATATGAGAGATTATAAGGATGGCACAGGTTAGGGCAACCAAAAAAGGCTCTCAGGCAGAGTAAGGGAGCAATGGGTATACTCATGTTTGATACATTTGCTGATTTCTGTGGTGTAAATATTCTGTGTTGTTTTTATGTGCCATCAAGTCAACTACGACCCTTTGCCACTGTATGTATCTTGCCCTAACCAGAGCCAACCAGCCTCTGTCAAACCTGATCCTACTGCCACACTCACTGTGTCAATCCATCTTATCCAGGGTATTCCTCTTCTGCATAAACCCTGTACCCTTCCAAGAATGGTATCATTCTTCAAGGACTGGTCATTCCTGGCAACATGCCCAAAGGATGTGAGATGAAGTGTCAAAATCCTTGCCTTCAAAGAGCAAACTGGTTTCAGCCTCTCCAGGGCAGACCCGTTTGTTCTCCCAGCAGTCAGTGATATGTTCAATACTCTTTTCCAGAACCACAACTAAAGGCATCAATTCTTCTGTTTGTGTTAGCAGCTGTCAAATTGACACTTGTGTAAATACTCCATTATGGCAATTTAAGCTACTGACCATGAACAGCTTGTTCACAAAATTCCTGATTATGTAACAATTGGCCACAGCTATGCCTGGCATGCTCTTGGTATAGGATATGCTGGCAGGTCAGCTATGAGGTAGTTCTAAATGCCAAAAGGTTTGGGATTTTTTTGTTTTTTATTTTCAATAAAATTTTTATTTTATACTGGTTTACTTTCAAAGTTCATATACATTGTTTTTCACACCAGATTCTTTCCATTTTGTTCACCCAGCCCTCCCTCCACCCTTCAAATTTTATGACCCTATGATTAAAGACTCCTCACCCATTCAACCAGGACCTGGTGAGCAGACCTTGTATTTAAAAGGTGGTCAGGCCTGAATAAGTCTCCAGTTTAGATTCTGGATCATAGTTTGTTTTGGTGTGAGTTTGGTGTGGACTGTTTGGTTGTGAGTTTTCATTCACAATTGGATGTCAGTGAGCTGTTGGCTGGAAGCCTCTTGGTTTATACCAGCATCTGGTGGTTCAACCTTATATTTGAAAGGCAGTTGGCCCTACTCAGTGTCTAGTTTGGAGGCTAATCTTTGAAGAGGCTTGATTCCGAAAGATGGTTTCTTTTGTCCTGGTGAGGGTTTGGTGAGGACTGTTTGGTTGTTATTTTTCATTGACAATCGGGTGTGAGCTGATGTGATTTCCCAGAATTAGCTTACAAAGAGCTGTGGTCTAAAAGTCTCTTGGTTTAGAGTCAATCAAGTCCTGGTAGGTGGATCTTGCATTTAAAAGGTGGTTGGGCCCAACTAAGACTCCTGCTTGGAGATTCATGTGTGAAGTGGCTGGATTCAAGATGATGGTTTTTCTTGTCTCAGTCAGAGTCAGGTTTGAACTCTTTGATTGGTGTTTTTTGTTGCTTTCTTTTCATTCACAATTGGGTATAAACTGATTGGAATTTTTAGATATAGGTAATGAGTTGTGGGCTGGGAGTCTCTTGGTGTAGAGACAACCAGGACCTGGTGGGCAAGCCTTGCATTTAAAAGGTGGTTTGGCCTACGTCTCCAGTTGGAAGGCTCATGAATAAAGCAGCTGGTTTCTGAAAGCTGGTTTCTCTTGTTTTATTGAGGGTGGGGCGTGGACTGTTTTCATTTCTTCATTAATAATCCAGTGTCAGCTGATTGGATTTGCTGGATTTAGTTAACAATGCACTTGGGCTGGAAGCCTCTTTGTTTAAGTCAACCAGAACGTGGGTCTTGTATTGAAAAGGCAGTAGGGCAGAACTACTCTTCAGTTTGGAGGCTCATGTGTGAAGTGGTTGGATTCTGGAGAAAGGTTTCTCGTCTTAATGAGGGTCGGGTAAGGACTCTTTGGTTAGTTTTATCGATCACAATCGAGTGTGAGCTGGTTAGATTTTTCTGGATTTAGGTAACAATGAGCTGTGTGCTGGAAGCCTCTTGGTTTAAGTCAACCAGGATCTGGTGGGCAGGCCTTGTCTTTAAAAGGGATTTGAGCCCAAATATGTCTCCAGTTTGAAAGCTCATGTGTGAAGTGGCTGGATTCTGGAAGACGGTTTCACTTGTGAGGGTCAGGTGTGGACTGTTTGGTTGTTTCGGGGTTTTTGTTTTGTTCACAATCAGGTGTGAGATGATTCAATTTGCCAGATATAACAATGAGCTGTGGGCTATAAGTCTCTTAAGAGTTATCCAGGACCTGGTTGGCAGGACTAGTATTTCAAATATGGTAGGACCTAAGGGCTGGTATTAATCGTATTTGGGATGAACATTCTTCTGCGTGGTACAGGACTGAAGCAACTTGGCTTTTCTGTGATCGTGAACAATATGCCACTGGTGTGTCAAATGGTTTAATAGTTACTTATCATGATCAATGTTTGCTGGAACTCCAAGAATCCAAGAATGATTCAGGTTTGGAAGCAGGAGTGGCATCCACTTCCTAAACCACGTGCCTCTGCAAACTCTATGAACATACAGAAACGATGATAGTTATAGAACAGGGTTCAGGTCTTTTGTTCATTGAATCGCTATGAGTCATGCTCAACTCAACAACACTTACCAACAACAACAATAACAATAAACTCATCATACACCAAATAATTTCTTTTATTGACATGTTTAGTGCTTTAGTAATTTTTAATAGACTACTTTTTGAAAAATCAGTAGATTGGAAACAAACATTCATATGCTCCCAATTCTTTTCAACTTGACAAAACTTTAATAATAACTTACCATAAACCAATGACCTACGGTAAGGACCAAATTAAACACCCGAGAACAGATAATTCATTGTTTTCTAATAATCAACAACGTATTTTACCTTCAGAGCCTCTTATATCCTGTATCTTATTGCAAAAATTTTAAATGTTTTGTGAAATCTTTAATTTTGTAACATTCAATTATGATTAGTAGTAATTCTGCCTTATGAGTGAAGTTAGTGTATTAAATTGAAATTAAAAACCCTGTGTTTGAAATTCAGTATCTGTCCTATATTTGTGCAAAAATATGGCTGACTCAGCTTCTTGACATTTTCATAGCTTCAAAATAATTTTAATACTTCTAAAGATTTGTCCAATTTAAAAACTTTCTGGAGAAAGCAAACACACTTGATCAGTTTTTATTTCAACATGTCTACAAAGTTTTAATTCCATTATACAAATTATTTTTCAAAATTTAGACATTACTCAAATGTTAGCCAAAGTTCTTATACAAATAGAATACACACAAAGATAAAAAATATACACTCTCCCAGCAAACCTTGTTACATAAATAAATATATACAGCTAGTATTTTCAATCTACAGTACAATTATCTTAAGTAGCATTATAATCACATAGAATATACTAAAATAAAAACAGTAGTAAAAGTTAAAGGAGCAACAAGTTAACCTTTTTATCTAAAATTAAGAAGATATATACTTTAAACTTGGATCTTAATTTTTATTTCACTCTGTTTACCCTTTCAGAATATTCTCCTTCAGAATGGTGAAATTGTCAATTCTGGCAGCTAGCTTTGACACGTAATACAAAAATCAGAATATGTGAAGAGCTATATAATCTATTCCTTTGTACTTTTGGAAAGACATAAAAAGAATTCTTTAAAGTGAAATTGCATAAAACTGTGTTAAAAATCTCCAAGTAAATGCAATTGACTTGAAATAGAATTATTTTTAAGCATGAAACGCTAGGGGAGAAAATCCAAACACCTGAAAAATCTTAACACAGTAAGCAATTAAGAAAAAATGCCAACATTCGTTTCCTAAAAAATTCAGCCATGAGTACACTTAATTACGTCTTGCCCCAGAAATTCTCCTTCCTCTTCCGAGCTCGTGTCAATGTCTGGAAAGCCCGGAGACTAGATGCTGCAGAGCGAGCAGAAATCTCTGACAATCTGTCATCTGAAAAGAAAGATTCCTCAAATCACATCCAATCCAAAAAATACATGTTATGTAAATATACATGTTATAGCATTAATAGAACATTAAAACATCAAGCTTTGTAATGGCCTTATTAGTTCTTCCAGTGGGAAATCTATTAATATAATAAGTAACATTTTATGGATTGTTCAAAGCAGTTTTCTAAGTTCATCATACTTGTTTGTTTGTTGTTTGGTGCCGTCGAGTTGTAGACGACTCATGGCGACCCTATGAACGAACAGCCTGAGCACTGTTCGTACATAGAGTTTCCGGAGGCAAGCCATTTCGGAAGTGGATGCCACTCCTGCTTCCAGGCTTGATTTAGTCGGGAAGCTCCAGCCAACACTGTCCACCATGGGTACCCATTACCATGATCGGCACATCACTGTCACAGTCTTCAGCATCACAGCAACCACGAGTTACCACTGTACAGCAATGCACAGACCAGTGCTCTACCACCTGTTTGACAGGAAAACAATTTGAACCTGGCTGAGTGCCGCAGGTCCGAGGGCCCTTTGGGCTTAAGGCCGCCTCCTGGCTCAAACCCTAGGCCAAGCCTGGCTTGCCTCGCTCCCGGGGACAGAGCAAAGCTGCACGTCAAACACATGCCTGGAAAAGCACTCGACTCCAAAAGCTTGCCACGATTCCTGCGCTCACGCCACCATGCTCCTTCTGGCAAGGAGAACTTCCCGAGACCCTGGGAGGAGCCAAGCAGGAACAACATGGCCGCCTCCTCTCCCATCATACTTAGAAAATAAAATATTTTAATGTTAAATATTTTTCTGACAGTCCATAATGTCTGAATTGCCTGAAAAACACGGCCTATGGTTTCAGTATTACTAAAAAATGATTTATCATATCTTACTTTAAAAGAGCACAACTCTTCTTAGAGAATGTTTTCTCAAATTTTTTAAAAATAAGAATACCCTAAGTGAATAATATTTAACATAACACTTATATCACATTTCTAAAATTATCTCCCTGGATATAGAAATAATGTCTGATTTTTACATGTAATCCCTCAACATACAGCACTCCAATGGCTCAGTGTGTTAAGTAATGGGCTGCTAGGTGGTCAGAGATTCTACTCCATCAGTCACTTTGCAGTGGATCTGGGAAACTCTATGGGACTAGTTCTGGTTTAATAGGGCCTCTATGAGCTGATATCAACTCAACCATACACAACAACAATGCTTTGTAAATACTAAAATTATGAATTATGCATAAAAAAGTGCAAGGTTACTTGCAAACACTTTTTCTACTAAAAACAAAACAGAAATGGATTAAAAACTGCCAGATAATTTGCATTTGGAAATATTAGTTGATGTTTGCCTTAACGAAATCTTTAAAATTTCTTGAACTTCTAAAGAGTAAGGTGATATCTACTAATGTTTGCAAACTTTTAATACACATCAAAGTTTAGAAATCTTTGGAATGAGGGAAGGGGTTGCATAACAATAAGAGTTTTACTTTTCAAGAAGAGTGAATTGGGGGGAGGGGGTGGGCAGGGAGAAAAGTACGACAATGAATGAATGGAAACCTTAAGTCTCTGTAAACTTTCATTAAAATTAATTTAAAAAAGAAACCTAGTCATTTAATACTTCTTAATGTGAATTAAATAGTAATTGCAATTGTCTTATCAAAAATTTAAATTTCTTTGTTAATAGAAGCTTATGAGTCAAAATAAAATTGACACTTTTCATAATATTTTTTTTAAAAATAAAAGATTTTGAAAATTAGTATCTGAAAACAAAAATGGAGCATATGACACTATGTCAAATTCTTGAGCCCCAAAAACAAAGTCCCAACTTCAGATGTGATACTAGTCACAATATTTTAGGATCTGATACAGAAAATATTCTTAGCAGATTTTGGCCTGCTTTCTCTTTTACAAAATGGAAGTAGTATCTCTTTGTCTCTCTCTTGAGAGAGAGAGATTGTGTGAGTGCGTGTGACACACACACACACATCCTGCCTCCTCCAACAGTGCGTCCGGAACCTAATGAAAATAACATTGGTATAAACACTCTGCCAACTGTAAAGTACGAATCAAATAAGAGACTATATTATTAGTACACAGCAGAACCTCATTTTATCTTGTGTTATCAAACTATTACTATACCTTCATCATTAAAGGCATCCTGTTGTGGCAACTGGAAATTGTTCATTCTTGCTTTTCCCACTTAAAAAAGAAACAAAATAGAAAAAGAAATTACCCTTAAAGATGCTAATCAACTTATTTACAGTGAACACTTAGTGAAAGTGTGTGTTCAATAATTTTATTACTTTATATCTTTACAGAAATTACCACCAAAGGAGCATTCTCTGGTGTAAAACATGCTTAGGAAGTGTGCAAAACACATGATAAAATTTTTTCCAATGTTAATATTTGATCTACTCTAATCTTAAATAAGTATAAATGTAGACTTCTCTTTAAAAATAAGAGCTTGAATATAGATATTTAGGGGAAAAAATATCAATTTACTAGGACAAAAAGGAGAGAAGAAAATAGCAACAAAATTTTGAGGGTTGAAAGTAAATGGAAAGGGAACGGGTGTGCTATTATTCACACTTGAGAGCTATATCTAAGCCAACACAACAGCAAATAGACTAAAGAGGAAACCAATCTGTTTACCCAAACAGCTGATGGGTACTGAGAAACACTGAAAGTTAAAGACAAGACTGAATCAAGAGAAGTGGCTGAAAGTCTTTTTACAATATAATCACATTATCAGTTATCTTCCTTGTGTATCCACAGTTTTGTAACTGCTATCCTCTCAAAAGAAGAATAGAGATCTTTTTCTCAAGAAAATAAATCATAGCTACCTTGACTGAAGGACATCAAGTTCAGCTGAGGGCAATGGTACATATTAAAAAGAGGGGATCTATGAGAATCTTAATACTGAACTTTGGGACTTCCAGTACTATTTCTTAAAAACTCCCAAACAGAATAAATGATTGGAACATTCTTCACTAAGGAATTTGCATAAAACTAAAGAAAAGACCAAAAGATATTACTCTCTTAAGTCTATAAATCTCACTATAAGTACATCCATTAGTCACTAAGCACTACTCATTGCTTCTACTCTTCCAAATTAACTTGATAACTCTCTGCTCTGAAGTATCCAAAGACAGCTGACCAAAACAAACAGAAAGAAAGGGAAACAAAAGGAAGACATCTGAAGACAACTAAGGGAGAAAACACATTATTATTCATCTCCTCAAAAAAGAAAACATTCAATCTATGAAACAAGATCAGAGTGATGTGTAAAAAGAACATAGAGTGTCAAAACATCCAAAATGTCTAATAATAAAAGTGTAAGAGTGAAAAAAATAAATGGAAAGGAAAAAGCTGCTGACCAACTCAGTTTCTTACAACTGAGTAAGAGCTTCAACTTGAGAAAATATACTAATTATCAAGAAACTGGTTAAAATTTTCAGTATCTCAAAAATCTGTTAGAAGAGGGGGATTGGAGGGAGTGAACCACATACAAGGCATTTATAATAAAAACAGCACAAGAGTTTTTAATAGTTGAAGGTGGAAAGGATCTAAACAACATGAAAAAAACAAGTAAATAAATAGATGAAGGCAAACAATTGCTGGTTTGAATCCTATATATAAGGGATTGTGTGACAATGTCTGGAGACGTGCTGGTTGTTATACCAAAAGGAGAAAGAATCTGAGAGCTGTTTCATGCTGAGAAAAAAAGTAAACTTAAATTCAGCTCAAGTGAGTATTAGATGACATTTTCTTTTACTATCTAATAAAATCTTTTCACTAACTTTTAATAATTGTCATTTTAAAAAAAAATAAATACCATTATGCTGAAATTCTGGATCTCTTAGAGTACCCTTAATTCGCAGAGAAGGCTGACTGTAAAATGGAACGTAGGGTGGAGAAGGACACTGTCCTGGAGTGCTTGCTGGAGACTCTGGAATCTTTGAAAGTTGATGAGTTTCTTCTGCAAGCGTGGCAATATTGGTTTCAGAATCTTCTCTCAAAGGCAGGGGATCAACTGTCTTTTTACCAGCAGCTGGAGAAGTCAGTAGGGGCACAGTATGAACAGCTTTCTAAATGATAGAAAATAAATAAAGATATACACATATAAACATACAAAGCAACTCGCAGACACTGTTGTTGTTGTTGTGTACTGTAGTCAAAACTGACCTATAGCTGACCGTCTGGCAGGTTTTCAGAGGCAGTTAATCACAGGGGAGAAGAAAGCTCATCCTTCTGCAGAGGAGCCAGTGGCCTCAAACTACTGCCTTCAGGATTTCAGCGCAGCTTCTTGCTACTAGGCCACCAGAGCTCCATAAATACATATACAAACATATATTAAACATAAAAAATATAGCCATAACAAAAGTCACTGGAAAAGATGTGGGTGAAAGATGTATTACCTCCATGTGGGGAATGTTTTAAAAGCATCACAAACATAGGTAAAAAAAAAAATCTAGAAAAAAAACTATACACAACATATACATCCATATGTATATTTGTGCATATATATATATATATATTTCTTTTGTGTGTGTATATATATGTGTATATACACAAACATACTCATTTATAAAAGCAAAAGGCAAACTGTAAACTTAAAAAATATACCAGTTTTTTATTAGACAAGTAACATTGTTGCTCATAAATATTTCTTTAAAAATAGCAAGAGTAAGATAAACCTAATTGGAAAATAGAAAAAGGATGACTGAATAAGCAATTCAGTATACATAAATTATTGTGTTGTTGGGTGGCATCAAATAAATTCCAACTCAAAGCAATTCCATGTGACAGAGGAAAACTGCCCCATGAGGACTTTAAGTTGAACTATTTTATAGGGTGGGGGTTGGGGGGAAATGGTTAGGTCTTTCTCTTGTGGATTAACTAGGTAGACTCAATCTGTTGACCTTTCAGTTAATAATTAAATGCTTTACTATTGTGATTACAAATGGCAAAAATAATCTGACTAATAATAAAATAATTTCAAAATAAATTCACTGTGGTATTAAATGTTCACTTACCAAGTTGTAATGATCAATTACATAACCAAACAAAACTATAATGCCAAGAGCAGGCATGCATGTGGAAAACCTAGCATTCACATTCACTGCTAGTAGGAACACACTCTTCATGGTGAGCTTTTGATACCTAAGAAAAGCCTTAAAAATTTTGTGTTCTTTGCTAAAAAATAATTTCTTAACACTTTATCAATCCTGACTGCATTCCTATTGTCATATTCACTTTAATAAACCAAGATGCTTATAAGTAACCAGGATTCTGTTATTCCAAAAAGGCTCATTTAACAGGTATTTAAGTAACAGCTACTAAAAGCTGATCACACTGTTCTAAGCACTAGGGCGTGCAATTTACAATTTTAAATAAGGGGGCCAAGAAAGCTTCACTTGGAAAGTTCCCAACTTGACAAGAGTGGCACCTTTATGGAAGGAGATCACTGTGTCATTCCCTCAAAAATCAATAATTTTACGTTGCAGCCAAACACTAATCCGTTCTGAAACCTGTACTCCTTAATTTTATGTTACTTAAATGTGAACAACACACTAAAATCAAATGTTTTCTCTTTTAGCCTATGTCTGTTAAATATCCTACAGATAAACATTGCGAAATTTTATTTCAGAAAATCTAAAAAAATTATGTTTCTTGAATAAGGAGAAAAATGTAAAAGAGTTTAATAAATTGTTGATGTTATGTGCCATTGAGTCACCTGTGACTCATAGTGAGCCTATGTCAATAGCTCTGAGCCCTGCCTTATCCTGAACCAGTCTCACTGACTCCAACACAACTACTTCCATTACCCCAGTTACTGTATCAATTCATCCTATCCAGGGTTTTCCTCTCCTGAGAGTTCCTCCTCTCTTTTAAGCATGATGTCCTTCTATAAGAACTAGTCCCTCCTGGCCCCGTCGCTGTCCCCAAAGTATGTGAGACAGAGCTTCAAAATCCTTGCCTCCAAAGAGAAACTTGGACAACATGTTTTTATTACTCAAGAATGTGGCAGGTTTTATTTATCTTGTATTAACTGTTAAGTACCAATATCTTATAAAGATGTATGTATTTTGAGCTGACATCTCAGCTTCAAATGGCTATTTTGAAAATTCATTTCTGGAAATTTCAAGAATGAAAACAAACTTTTTTTTTCTTCATGACAGCAACAATTGAAGCACAGGCATAAACAGCAAGGTTAAACCAGACTAAAGCTGCTAGGTGGGAGGATATATGTAAGTCGTCTGTTTGTTTTATAGACTTAGTAAATTTCACAAAACTGACTATACACAAAGTTGTGTCAACTTTACTTCCACTAAAAGTATATTAAAGTGTCTGGTTTTCTACATATTTAACAAGAGATGTTTCAACTCTTAAAACTTTGGCCTGGGCACAGAGAGCGATGCACAGAAAGTAAGCAGGACAGTAGGAATTTTGAGTGAGAACTATAATTAAAATAATTATCTTGGGAGCCACAGAAGAAGTAAGCCGCAGGCCCCAGCAGGAGCCACCAGCTGAGCCCTGGGAGGAGCTGCCATCTGAGCCCACTGTGGGACCCACCTGCCAGAAGCAAGCAGGACAGCAGGAATTTGACCGAGTTATCTTAAACCCCACCGGATACAGAGCCCCACTGGACATAGAACCCCACTGGGCAAGTGCCACCATGTGAGAACCAGACAGCTGGAATTTGAATGAGGACCCTGAGCAAGCTCACCCTGGACAACTGAAAACGGAGAGAGGTCTCCATAAGTGCCCATTCAGCGCCCATTATGCCCCGCATCCATGCCTCCACGTCCAGTCAACTAACTTGCCTTTAATCCAGAGCACCTGGATCTGACTTAGCTGCAAGAAAAGGCTGCTCTCACAGGCCCTGAAATGAACCTCCCCTTGGATCAGAAGTTCAGAGAGAAACACAGGCAGGGTAGCTGTTCCACCTTCTTCTAGTGCAGTGACTTCAGATCAAAAACCTATCATCACCTCTGGCATGAAAAGCTCTACCACAGCAATGTCATACAAGAAGCAGGCTACCTCACACCCTACACAATCCCAAGATGTCACCCCCAAAAGATGACAAAGTATCAATGGATTTCCTGAAGCCAAAAAAGTCTAATGGAACATTTTGACACAGAATTTAAAAGAATAACTGAATATTTTCAATGGGTGAAAAAGAAACTTGAAGAATTGCAGGATACTAAAAGCAAAATCAGAAGGAACTTAAAAAAAAAAATCTAAAACAAGGCTCTGGAAAAACAAAAACCTCAACCCAGAATATGAGGTCCAATGTTTCAGATGCTGTAAACAGGATGGAGGGACACATGAACAGAGCTGAATAGATGGAACACTGAACAAGTGATATAAAAGATAGAATTGTCACCACTGATCTGCTAGAGCAAAAAGCAGAATCAGAAAGGAAAGAAAAAAAGAAAAACTAAGAGTAATGTGGGAAACCATCAAGAGAAATAACATGTGCATCATCGAAATCCCAGGACAGGAAGAACGAAGTAAAGGCACTGAAAAAGCTGTGGAAGAATTACTAGAGGAAAACTTCCCTAGCATAATGAAAAATGACAGAATATATATTCAAGAAGCTGAGCAAACACCATATAGATCCCAAAAGAAAAACACCATATAGATCCCAAAAGAAAAACACCAAGGCATATCATAGTTAAATTTTCCAGAACCAAAAATAAGGAGAGAATTCTGAAAGCAGTGATGGAGAAACAAAGAGTAACCTATAAGGGAGAGCAGATAAGATTAAATGCTAATTTCTCAGTAGAAACCACGTGAACAAGAAGACAGTGGAACGACATATATCAAACACTCTAAGAACACAACTGTCAACCAAGAATACTGTACCCTTCAAAACTGTCCATCAAATATGAAGGAGAGATCAAGATATTCCCAGAAAAACAGAACCCAGGGAGTATGTGCAAATAAGACCAGCATTGTAGGAAACAATAAGAGATGTCCTTCTTACAGAGGTGTCACAGAAAGCAGGATGGACTAAAGTAACTAGCAATAACACCAAAAAGAACTCAACAAAATGACAGCAATAAAACCTTTTCTCTGAATAATCACACTGAATGTGAATGGACTGAATGCATCACTGAAGAGAAAAAGAGTAGCATTTGGATAAAAAAACCAAAATCCATCAATATGTTGTCTAAAAGAGACACATTTAAAAAAACAAAGATAAAGAAAGACTAAAAATAAAAGGGTGGGGAAAAATATACCACGCAAATGGCTACCAGAAAAAAACAGGAGTAGGGATATTAATGTCTGAGAAAATAAATTTCAATGCAAAAACCATCACAAAGGACAAGGAAGGTCACGACATAATGCTTAAAGGGTCAATAGCTCAAGAGGACATAACAATAATAAATATCCATGCAACAAATGAAAGACCTGAAAAATATATAAAACAAACATTATCAAAACTGAAAAAGGAAACAGACAATACTACTATAGTAGTTGGAGACTTCAATATAGCACTCTCAAGAAAAGATAGAACTATCAGAAAGAAACACAACAATGATGCTAAATAATTAAACGACACAAACCAGCCCAACCTCATAAATATTTATAGGCTAATGCACAAAAAAAGCACAGTATACCTTTTTATTTAATGTGCACAGAATATTCTCCAGAATAGATTACATTTTAGATCACAAGGCAAGCATCAATAAATAAAAGAATATAAAAATAATATAAAGCATCTTCTCAGACCACAATGCTACAAAATTAGAAATTAGTAACAGGAGAATAAAGGAGAAAAAACCACACATTTGGAAACTGAACAACACCTTGCTTGAACATGAGTGGGTACTAGAAGAAATAAAAAATGAAATTAAAAAGTTTCTTGAAACAAATGACAATGAAAACACCACTTACCAAAACCTCTGGGAAACAGCCAAAGCAGAAATCAGAGGGAAATTTATAGCAATAAACAAACACATCAAAAGGCAGGGGGGAAAATGACCATTAACTCTCTAACCCAACATCTCCAACAAATTTAAAAAGAACAGCATGAAAACCTGACACCATCTAAAAAACCTGAAATTATAAAAATTAG